AATTTTATGTTGTTCATGTTTATTTTTAGGTTAATAAGGTATTCTAGATACATAGAGATTATATTTAGTATAGATAGTATAATCTTCAGCCTCTTTAAAGAGCTGTAGAAAATGGCCTTTAAGCTAACCTAGAATTCTGTGCCGAGACACAATTACTCCTGGCGACACCACTCTACTCCCGAGAGAACGTTGAGCACCAAAGACACTCCACTGGGAGTTTGTCTTCTTGGCAGAATTGGCCTTTGGGTTAAGAAAAGCCCATACCTCATCTACTGACAAAGATATGAAACAGGATTTTCTTATCTTGCCAAGACAGGGTAGGATAATTCTAAGAAAATTCCTTGCATTTGATAATGGTATGTCAGTCATGCTAGGCCTTAGCCAAAGTTGGTTGACTCAACATTGCGAACGAGAATTTGGGTGATTGCCCAGGTAGTCTGTTGTCTCTGTCATTTATGGCACGTTTTGGATATCTCTCATTTGTTAAGTAATATTTATTCCCTTCTTGGATCTTTGACGGAGTTGAAGATTATATAATTGTAATTACTCTCTACATTATTTAGACTCCTTGAGATAGAATGTCTGGCAAAACTTTCATTCTCAATATTGTTTGTTATATCTATCATTTATTATTATTGTTTATAGTTGTATTTAGGTTAGTTCTGTCTTATTTAGACAAAAAGAGGGAGATGTAGGGATAAGCCCTCCCCTTGGGGGAGGGCTGCTCTTGGGCGTATGTTTACTGATAAATTGGACGCGCAGATGCTGCACGCCCCTTCCTGCCTCCGCCGGGTACTCCGCTGGAACCTTGGTTTCGTGAGTCTGGTTTTGTTATTAAACTTGTTCAAATACCTAGTATCATTGGTGCTCATTAATCCAACCGCCACAGGCCACAGCTCCCAGGGCTGCTGGATTCTGATCACTAGGTCTCACCTTGCAGTACAGGACTGGATGTGGACCTTGGTGGCCAGTGGCAAGCAGCAAATACAGGAGAATGAGGTTCCTGGAAGGTAAGCTCGCTCAACTATCTGCTCTGGGACTGCTTTGAAGTCTCTGCAGGACCATCAGACTTGTCCCGCTGATGTGCTCCATGCGCCCCCTGGTGGTCAACGCCGGAATGAATGGAATCGTGGACAGAAAGATGGCTGGCTAGTGAGCAGGTTGAATGTCCCTTTTTTATAAGAATCCCAACTCCATGCAACTCCTATCCTTTCCTCAAAACTATGGTTCCAATGCACCCTCCGGGCTCTCAGGAAGCCCTTCTTGTGCCATCATACACATCCAAGGTCGGTCTGGAATCCTATTCCTTCCTCTAACCTCTCGGTGTTGGGGTGTTTGTATGCATTTCGTAGATGCTTGATGAATGCTGAGTGAATAAGAAAATAAACACAGGGCCGGGCAGTGGTGGCGCACGCCTTTAATCCCAGCACTTGGGAGGCAGAGGCAGGCGGATCTCTATGAGTTCAAGGCCAGCCTGGTCTACAGAGCTAGTTCCAGGACAGGCTCCAAAGCCACAGAGGAAACCCTGTCTCGAAAAATAAAAAAATAAAACAAATAAACACAGGAACTAGCTTCAGGAATATTCTTTTTTTTAAAAAAAGATTTATTTATTTATTTATTTA